AGCATGGAAGTTTCTGCTCCATTGTTTTACCTAATTTTTCGACACCCACCAAGTACTTGGCGACTTTGCAGCAAGCGTGGTAGATCGAACCGGTCAGTGCCGATTTGATCTACCTCGATGGCGCGCGTGGCATTGATTTAGCATCAGTCGCCATGCCTTTCTCTCCAGCAAAAGTGGTTTCCATACTGGTAGCAAAGGTAGTTTTCTGAAATACTCGTGGTACAAAGCGGGGGCACTATTGAACCACTCCTACCCCAAAAAACTCAAAAAAATTTTTTTCGCTGAAACGTTGCCTATAGATGTAATTCGATGCGCTGATCACGAATATCACATCCGTTTCGAGCGCTGGCGTCATTTGGCGCCATATGCGCCAATTTGGCGCCCACCACTTTTTTCACCAAAGTCGATGAAAACTTGCATATGGGGGTTAATCAACATCCTGATCACGAATCCAATATTTATTTTTGGCGCCAATGTGATATCCGTGATCAGTATGGAGGCGCAATCCGATTAGGTATCCATACATAATTAATTACAGCAAATGCAAATCCTTTTCACCGATTTTTGGACTTTTATTTAGGAGCCATTTCTGGGATCTCCTCTACAAAAGTGCAAACACGCGGACTGCAGGTTCATTTACAAAAAGTACAGCACACTAGATAATACTGTCTGACAAGGATTATCATATGACTCTGATCGGAATGTACTGTGAAAAGGTGTAGAGAATAACCTATAAAAGGGGTGGATGATGGGCACAAGTTATCACAACCAGAATGTTGTTCGCTCTCGCAGGACTGTGCTTCCTCTTGGCAAGCGGCAGTGCTAACGGTGAGTACAGTTGTTCTTTACAATTCGCGAAAAGTTTCGCTTCAACCGCGACTTGGTCAGTATTTTATTCTCTAGTGCACAGAACAGTTCACTGGTTACGGTCCCCGAGGATGTCTGGATCTGTACATCGTACAGATCCAAGCATTTGCGAATTTATCCGCAACTTGAAACGTGGACATGCCTATTGAAAAGTAGTTAACGTTAGCACTCAAGTCTTTCATACACTGAGCGTAGCCGACACACACTTTTGATTTCCAACACTAGCGATTGAAGGCAGAGTTTCGCTTGCAGAAATGGGACGGCGACCTTTCGAATCAAGCTTGCGAAGACCTAGTGAGTGGAGAAATCAGTGATATCTACACCACGTACAAGGCAGAAAAGTTAGTATATGCCAGCATGTGAACTTTTTCAAACATTTGCTTTGAAGCAAAATTATCTTTGTTTCTTTGGAGGAACTTCAACAATCCCAGCTTACCGCTTGAGAACAAGTTGCGAGTAACGCTCAATGCCGGAACTAGAAGTGAGAAAGAAAAAGTGAGTCAAACCGCTCTCAGTTTCGACGTCATCTTCGCACTTACACTCAAGACACTGGAATGAAGTAGGCGTGGCTGCAAACGCGGCGTTGGCTGTGCTTTTAGAGTCACCACCGCTCTGTCCATCACAGAACAAGATGACAGTTGTCTAAAACTGAAATAACAAATGCGTAACCCATTCTATGCCGTGTCAAATGCCACGCCTACTCCAGCTGAAACATAAGAAGTGTGAAGTAGGTGAACTGGTGCGCTACTGCAGTTTTTCGACCGTGCCTTTTGAGCCCATTACAAGGCATTACGATTCGAAGGCAATCTGTTTTCAACACATTCAGAGGTTAGCTCTGATGAAATTGGGATGAGTGTGAAGTCTAGTAAGTAATGATGGTTGTGAAGGAGTGGCGCTGTGCAATTGTTGCTCCACGCTGGAAACGAAAATCAAAATGGACACAATATCCTGAAAAGCATCTTCTGGTTCTTGTTGCACTTATCTGGTTTGTTCAGGTGGAGAGAATGGAAATTGGAGCGCACTATGGATGCAGCGGCTTGCTCTCAGAAGATAAACTCAACCTTCAAAGTTCTGTGCCTCTACCAGCCTTGAGCCGTACGTGGAACAGCTGCACATTCACAGGTTTATTGATAGGTTTTCACGTGTGCATGCTTTGAACATTCGAAAGAGAGGATTTGGATAAAGTTCTTCGCAAAGAAAGTCTTGTGTGGTTAGTATTTCAAGCATAGGGAAACTTTCGTTTTGGCACTATTGCAACTAATTCCTATACCAAAAAAACTCAAAAAAATTTCCGCTGAAACGCTGCAAAACTTTTTTGAGTTTTTGGGGTAGGAATAGTTCAATAGTGCCGAAGATTTAGTCTCTTGGAGACGTAAATTTTGCAATAAAGTTCTTCACAACAGCAACCTCATGTGATTGAAAATTGTGAGCGGGAGAGGGAAACATTCTTTGTATAACTAGTTGCGACATCATGTCAGGTCCTTGATCCCTGTGATCTAAGAGAACCAGTTGAGAGCCAAACGGAGACTCAGCTTGTGGATTTGGCCTATACAATGACTTGCGGGGGCCAGCCGATGTACAAGTCAGTGTTTTATCCTCCCAGACGAATCTGGTACCAATTTACCGTCCCCGGAGGGTAGAAGGCTTGGTTGGCCTGGGCGGGAGTCAATCCGAAGGCTTGGAATGTCTCCGAGTAATCCGATTAGTTCCTCATTGCTGATTTCTCCAGTTAGCTTAACCGCGTGACATTGAATGAAACAGACATTGAGAAGGCTTGTTGGAAGTTGTGCACAACTACTGATAACAGTAGTTGTGGCGACGTTGTCGAAGTTGGAGGGTGATTCTCTTGGAAATACATATGAATTGGTGGCTCCACAAGCTCGAAGGTCACGGATAGTCTGCAGAGAGCAGCTCTGGATAGAGCAACTATTTGGCAATCCTCCCTCTTTCAAGACAATCATCTTTTTCCAAACTTCACATTATCTTCCTATCATCAGAGCTAACTCGCGTGAAAGTGTTGACCACAGGTGACCTTGGAATCCCAGATTCTCCGTGAGTTTTCCCCAAAAGGTATGGTAAAAGAAGTGATACTACACGATTACCGCATGAGTAGCACGGCCAGAGAATCTAAAAATCACTAATCTTTCTCCGTGTGAAATCCAAGCAAGCGTAACTGATGCTAAAGTTTTCGCGATTCCTAACATTAAAATGGTAATACGCACCTGTTGTAATATAACAACAGTACTCACAGTACTGTATTTCGATTGCAAAGAATCACACCCACTATGCTCTCCTCTTTCGATCCATCTGTTCTGCACTCAAAGGCAAGTGGCACGATTTATTTATCGACAAGGCGCACAGAGTTGATGCGCCTAGCACGGAAGAATGGTGTGCCTCTTAGCAAGAGCTGCGGAGCCCCTTTCCTAACCAAATGCACATTGCAGATTGACCTTTCAGACCTTTCAAACCAATGGCAAGG